GAGAGGGAGGGAAGTTGAAAGGGTGAGGGAGAGAGGGAGGGAAGCTGAAAGGGTGAGGGAGGGAGGAAAGTTGAAAGGGTGAGGGAGGGAGGAAAGTTGAAAGGGTGAGGGAGAGAGGGAGGAAAGTAATAGAGAGAGAGAGAGAGAGAGATGGGAGGGGGAGACAAGGAGAGTTTAGATGAAAGAGCGAGAGAAAGTGAGGAGAAAGGAGAAGGGAAAGGGAGGGAAGGAAGGAAAGAAGGAAGGAGGCAGACTGAGAGAGAAAAAATAGAAAGAAATGGAAGAGAAACGATACAGAAAATACGTAAGGGGTGAAAGGAAGGGGAATAAGAGAAGAAGAGGAAGACAGAAAAAGAAAGGAAATAGAGATGATGAAGGATAATAAAGGAAGAATTAGAGAGATTAGAATAAATGAGAAAAACTAATAAACGAAGATCTAAAATGAAATGGAATGTGGAAGACAGAGATGGGAGAGGGATGGAAGGGTAAAAATAAGAATGGAGATACTCATTAAGGGAAAGATGAGGTGAGATAATGAGAAGAGAAGGGGGCGAATAAGGAGAGAAAGAGAAGGTAGGAGAGTTAGAAGTAGTACGAGAGAGATTTATAGAAGATGGGGGGTGGAAATAAACTGTAAATAATGGAAAGTTCTCTCTCTCTCTCTCTCTCTCTCTCTCTCTCTCTCTCTCTCTCGTTGGTAGAAGACGAGACCAAAGGGAAATAAATAAACAATGTCAATATACAGAACAGATTGTTTAATAACAATTGAAGAGTAAAAACAGGTTGAGAGAGTCAGTACAAACAAACACCTCAAACTTGTTTACAAACATGAGTCACCTGTGTTGTTTACTTTAGTATTGTGACCAAAAAATTACGGCCCCCAGATGTAAATTTTGATGACCATTGACAACTGGATGGCTTGAACCGATCTCCTTTAGGACGGGAAGTGAGCGTTGTCTTCACTCCGCCACCGCACATTATTCTTAACATGGGATAACAAATAATTTCAAGCTGATTAACGCCATTGTAAATAATTCCAAGAAGTACCGTGATAGCGAGGATGGTACAGAGACATTTTGGTCCGTGTACCGTGATGGTGGAGACGGTACGAGGGGGGCGGGGTGGTGAGGGCTGGCATGGTATTATCTCCAGGTTGCCAGAACAGCCACACCAACAGACACATAAACACACTGAATGAGGTGAAAATGTGGCTTATACTGTGTGTGTGTGTGTGTGTGTGTGTGTGTTTTATTTATGTGCGTACCCGTGGCTGCGTCCTCTCGCTCTTAATTTATTCCGCACACACTAGACTTTCTCCACTACTATTCCACCATCTCTCTCCACCACTGTGTTTTGCCACTACCACTTCACCCTCCCACTCCCCTCCCACTCCATCACTTCCCCCACTTCATCACCCCTCCACTCCTTCACTTCCCCCCACATCACCCTCCACTCACTCCATCACCCACCTCATCACTCCCCACCACTCCTTCACTCCCCCACCACTCCCCTCCCCACCCTCCACCCACCCCACACCCCCACCCCCCACCACTCCATCACCCCCCACCACTCCATCACTCCCCACCACTCCATCACTCCCCACCACTCCACCACTCACTCCATCCCCCCCACTCCATCACTCCACTCCATCACACCACTCCATCACTCCCCCCACCCATCACTCCCCCACCACTCCATCACTCCCCACCACTCCATCCCCCACCACTCCACCCATCCCCCCACCACTCCATCATTCCCCACCACTCCATCACTCCCCACCACTCCATCACCCCCTCCACTACTCGCCCCCCACTCCACCACTAAACTTAACCATGTCTTCTCTGTCCCTGGTCCTGGCTCTTACGGTGCTCCTAGAGAAGCTACCTGTGTGCCCCTCACGTCCACCTTACCCGACTCCCCTCACCTCCCTCACCCCCCACTCCCCTCACCTTCCCTCACCTTACCTGACTCCCTTCACCTCCCCTCCTCACGTCCTGCCCAGTCCACCTCCCCTCTCCTTACATCCCTCACCTCACCTCCCATGACCTGACTCCCTCCCCTCACCTCCCCCCTTTTACTTGACTCCTCTCTCCCCCTCACCTCTCACCTTCCTTCCCTCACTTCCCTCACCTCCTTATCTAGCTTCCCTCACTTTCCCCCTTTCTTAACTGACTCACCCTCAACACCTTCCCTCTTCCTTACCTGACTTCCTTCACCTTCCTTCTTCCCTTCCTCCTTCCTCCTCCCTCATCCCTTCTTCTATGCTTCCTCCCCCTCGTTATCGCCCTCCTTCCTCCCTCTTTGCACCGTTAAATTTGTTCCTTGTGTCTGTGTCCCCGTGGCTCTGTGTCCCCGTGGCTCTGTGTCCCCGTGGCTCTGTGTCCCCGTGGCTCTGGTGTGTCCCCGTGGCTGTGTCCCCGTGGCTCTGTGTCCCCGTGGCTCTGTGTCCCCCGTGGCTCTGTGTCCCCTGTGTGTCCCCTGGCTCTGTGTCTGTGTCCCCCGTGGCTCTGTGTCCCCGTGGCTCCTGTGTCCCCGTGGCTCTGTGTCCCGTGGCTCTGTGTCCCCGTGGCTCTGTGTCCCCGTGGCTCTGTGTCCCCGTGTCCCCGTGTCTGTGTCCCCGTGGCTCTGTGTCCCCGTGTCTGTGTCCCCTGCTCTGTGTCTGTGTCCCGTGGCTCTGTGTCCCCGTGGCTCTGTGTCCCCGTGGCTCTGTGTCCCCGTGGCTCTGTGTCCCCGTGGCTCTGTCTTCGTGGCACCAATCAAACCCTCTCGTTAAAAAGTTGTTTGAGTTCCAGTGATCGAATTACTGTTTCCCCTCTCCTCCTCCTCTCTCTTCCTTCTTCTTCTCACCTTTCTTCTCTCTCCACCTCCCCTTTCACACTCTTTCCGCATCATCTCACACCTCTTCCTCTCTCCTCTCACACCTCCTTCCATCTCCTGACAGTTCTATAACCCCGTCTATCTCTATCTATCTATATCTATCTATATCTATCTATATCTATCTATTTCTATCTATATCTATCTATATCTATCTATATCTTCGTTTCTTTCATTCAGCTTTAACTTTTCTCCTCAATTTGTTTCCCTTTTGGGGGTCTTTTGTGTCTCTCTCTCTCTCTCTCTCTCTCTCTCTCTCTCTCTCTCTCTCCTAAACAGAAAATGCTGACATCCTGCTTTTGAAATTCAGTCTACCATTCATTAGCATTAAATTATAAAACACTGGAGCATTTTAGCGAAAGTTTATGTAAATGTTTTAATGTTTAATAAACGAGTAATTCATTGCCGTGAATATAAGAATATATGTTTTAACTTAATGGTATTTTTATATATAACAATATCAATTATATACAGTGTAAACTATTCGTCAATATTTCAAGTCGTATTGATTGGAATTATTGTATCGTATTTTCTTTATTTCCTTGTAGTGTCAGTTTTATTATTATCGTCTTTTATTTTATTTTATTGTTTTATTTACATTGTGGATAATAAGGGATAAACACTGAGTCTGTAGCGGTATGCGAGAAGGAGAGGGCAGCATGACGTCAAGTAATTGTCTGGGGAAAGTTTCTTTACGCCATTTGCCTCTTGTCTACCCAGCAGTAATTGTGGATCGTGTTCCGGGGTAATGGTTTGCCAGTACAGTTGGGGAATTGTCCGGTCTTCTCGGACTATTCCTTGATACTGGGTCATGCAGCTCGTTAACTTAGGGTGTGGTTGTTGTGTTGGAGACAGTTTCTACACCTTAAACAAATTCACACCAGAGAGAGAGAGAGAGAGACCTATTACCATATTTAGACGTCAGGATCAAGCCAAGACGTTGAGAAAATTCTTTGGAGACGATTTTTCCTCGCAAATGACCCAGAATAAGACCCCAGTATGCTAATTATCCCCATCAGTCAGCAAGTTATTTTACCAGATTTGATATTATTTTTTACGCTAAGTATTCTCATTAATTACAGCTTACCTCATCTTTTATTGAAGGTTTTATACGATCTGTGCCAAGTGTTTTTGTTGACTTTCTGCGTAGGTGATGATGGTGAAGTTAAGGGGACGAAAGGTGTGTGTGTGTGTGTGTGTGTGTGTGTGTGTGTGTGTGTTGATAGATGGAGTTTACAGGTTTTTTATATGCAGTTATATTTATGTTAATACACCATATATGTGAAGGTAGGTATAGTAATTACCTGACCAAAACTCATCATCTAGCTGGTTTGTGGATATGAAGACGGGGGTGCCTCAGGGTAGTGTACTGTCACCTTAGTTGTTCCCTTAATGTTCTTGAAAATTGGACAACGCCTGAGATGAAACTGAGATTATCCTTGACTACATATCTGAATGTGTGTTTGTTATATTACAGAAACACGTGAGTGCCATAGGGTATTGTCAGCCTTTGTTCAACTTAATGTTTTCTCTTGAGAACTGAACTACACTTGGGACGAAATTGAAATCCAGGTGTTGTGTGGCATTGCTGTGTTATGGTGGCACAGAATGGAGACTGTCATAGTTGTTGGGTGTTAGAATGATGCTTTCCTGTGTGTTGGGTCACATAAGGAGCTGGACACTACAGTTAGGGAGTTGGACGAGGGAGTTCCTATATCCGAAAGAGATAGGGAGTATCATTGTGAATATACTACTGTTCCTTTAGATGTATTTTTAAGCGTATATAAACTCTCTCTCTCTCTCTCTCTCTCTCTCTCTCTCTCTCTCTCTAAACGATGATGGTTTATATAGCTGCATGGACTAGAGAGGAAAGAGATCAAGAGAGAGAGAGAGAGAGAGAGAGAGAGGGAGAGATTCAAAGACAGAGAGAGAGAGAGAGAGAGAGAGAGAGAGAGAGAGAGAGATTGTTCTACCCTTTGACACGAATATTGGAAAAGATGGCGCACTGTCTTATACTGTTACCTCGTG